AAAAAAAAAAAAAAAATAATAATAGCAAAAGATATTATAAATCAAGATGAAGTAATATTTTCATTAATATAACAACTTTTTTATAATTTACTATTAGAAAGAATATAAGAAAATAAAGGTTTAGGTTATATAGTAGAGCAACAAATTAAAAGAGACATGCAATATAGCAATACTACAAAGTATTGCCAAATAGTTATTGTATATACAGATAATATAATATAGTTTGAAATTAGCAAAGAATAGCTAATAGAGATTTTAAAAATAGCAAAAAAGTTTTTTAAGATGAATAATATGAAAATAAATAGATTCAAATCAAAACTGCTAATAATAAATACAAAAGTAAAAAAAGAAAAAAGAAAACTAATTTTTGGAAAAAGCAAAATAACAAAAAATACAAAGAACAAAATAATTTACTTATTAAAAATATGACTAAATAACAGAATAAGTAAAGTACTAATAAAGAAAAAAGCTAAAAAAATAATAACTAAATGATAAGAGATCTGAGATACAAAAAATGACAATGAGTCAAATTGCATATATAAATAATATAGTAATAATATCAAAATTAAATTATATGCTACAACTAATAAAAATATCAGAAATAAGTATAAGTAAAATATACCAACTAATAATAAGCTTGATAAAAAAAAGAGCAACTTGCAAAAAATATTAAAAAACTGTTAATGAAATATAAAGCTCTTAAAAGCTATAGAATACTATAACAAGAGTTAGTAATAAAACAAATAAGTAGCTTATTAGTGAGACTAAACAGACAAGACAGTTTTAAATAGTTAACAAAATTAAAAATAATACAAGGTTGCCAGAGAGTAGGTCTAATAGAAGATATATAGAAATAAAAGAGATATCAGAAAACATAAAAGGTTAGAAAATAATTTGACTTATCTAATATTACTAAAAGTGTAAAAGCTTAATATAAATATAAGAACAAAAGGTAATTTATAGATAATGTTTAAATATGAAACTAAAGTAAAAAAACTAATAGATACTTGTTTATAGAAAAGCAGTAGAACTAGAATAAATAAAGCAGACTTAATATATTTAAATTAGTTACTAGATACAAGAGGTAAATAGTTAATTATATAGTAATAGCTAAAAAGTTACCAAGACCTATCAAGCAAAAAAAAACAGTAGTTTAAAATAATAGAACTAGAAGTGCTTAGTAAACCAGAAAGCAGAAAGATAAAAACCAATTTAGAACAAACAAATGAAACACCTAAGTAATGCAAATAAGATAGAGGTATATTTCAAAAAATAAAAGAAAAAAAAATAGATAACACATAATGTATAAAATTATTAATAATTAGAAAAAATAGTTAAAAAGAAAAAGGAAAAAATAATAGTAAAGCACTACAAATGCAGAGTAGAAAAAATGAACTAGTTGTTGAAGTTAGCAAATATAAAAGTTGTACAAAAAAAGAAAAATAGTTAGAAGACAGCTGCCAGCAGTAAATAAGAATAAACAACAAAATTAATATAATTTCAGATGTATTAATAAAAAAAGATAACAACAAGATTAAAATAACAATAGATCAAATAACAGAAACAATCAAGATAAACAAACTAGTAATTAGAAAACAAAAAACTTAAGAGACTAAGAATAATTAAAAAACTAGAAGTAAAGGTAATCAAATAACAAAAGTTAATAGAGAATATTAGCTAAGAAATAATAGAAGTTTTGAGAAGAAATATAATAAGAAATAAGAACAAGTACATAATATATATAGATGAAGTAGCAAATATAAAAACTAAAGAAGATATAATAATTAAAAATAATATAGACATAGGATAGGTTCAACCAAATAAAACACAAAAATAACCTAAAAAAGGGTTAGTACTGGGTCTAGAAAAATGACACATTAACAATAACTAAGTTAGTAGCAATATGAGTAGCAATATTAACAATATTAAAGAAAAAATAAATAGAAATATATACAAATAGCAATGCTGCAATAAGAAACATTAGTAGAGATTTAGAACAAGTAAATAGAAATAAGATTCTCAAGAAAAAGAATGCAATATAAGTAATAAAAATTAGAGACTTTATTATAATAAAAAACATTCAGATAGTTTTTAAGATTGAAAACTATAATAAAAATAGATAAAATAATAAAGCTAATAGTTTAGTGAAAAAAGATGCAACAAATAAAAAGATAATATAGACCAAAGAAGTTAGTTGTAAAGAGATAGAATACTGCCTAGAGTGAAAAAACAAATATACTAACATATTAGCAAGGCTGCTTTGCAAATTAATAATAAATGCAAGATTATAAACAGAATGAAAAAAATGAAAACAATTAAAGACTTAGAACCAGAAATAGAAAATATGATTTATGATTAGATATATTTTTGAAAAAAACTAAAAATAATTAAAGAGTTTACTGCATGATAAAAAAAAATAATTCTAAAAGAAATGTGCTTATAAAATGTATAATAGTTAAACTTTTAACTTTAGAAGAACTTAACAGAAAAAGACTAGATATGTATATAACAATAGAATACTAAGTATGCTAAGATAAAATAAATAAAATATAAGCATATTTGGCAGCATATAAGAAACAAAAGAATCTTTGAAAAAGAATCTAAAAAAATGACTATTACAACAGCCTAAAAGGAACTAAAAAAAGAAAAAAAAGTTTAAGTCTTCCTATATATGTTATATATAATATTTTTTGAAAAAATAGAAGCAGAAAAAATAAAAATAAGAGAAGCACTAATTAAAGGTCTTATTCCAAAAAAAAACACAGAACAAATTAAGGCAATTTCTAAATATAAAATTAAAAAATTAACAAATAGAAAAAAAAAGAAATAATATATGTAAAATAAAAAAAAAGGAGAGAAAAAAAAGAAGTAAAAAAGAAAAACCAAATTAGCAAAAAAAAAAAAGTAAAAAAAAAGAAAAACAAATTAAAAAGAAAGCATAAAAGACAATTTTAAAGCTTGTCATAAAAGAGAAAAGACCCTTTTATTATAGACTTTAAGTAATTAAATAAGTAGCTTAATTTTGCTTGAAGTAATGCAACAGGTTGCATTTAAATACTATTAGAATGACTAGGTAATGCTGAATTTAGTTATTAAGAATATTTATGTAATTGTAAATGTAATTTTAAGATTTTAATAAAGTACTAGCATAACTGCTTAAAAAAAATAAAAATAAAAATAAAAAAATATTTGATTAAGTAAATAATGCAAAGTAATTATAACTAAAATAATGAATAATATAATATATACAAAAAAGATTTATAGAAAAAGATTAGTTTAACTAAAATTAGAATATCTTAAATAAATATTAGTAAAAATACTGTAAAAATAATATTTAAAATAGTTATATATCATAACTTAAATAATAGACATCAAACCTGTTATATAATAAAACAAGATTTCATATCTTTTTGTAATATCAAGTTAGTAATACATTAGCATATAATTAGTAATATATTTATAAAAAAACTTGCAAAAAGCATATATGATAAAGCTATAGACTAAATTAATTATAGAAATATAACTAAAAAAGATATACAATAAACTGCATATTGATAATTTAGATTTTAATAAGTTTAGCTATGCTAACAAATACTAAAAAGCATATAAAATTATATATACTAAATTAGCAATAACAAAAACAAAAAATTATAAGAATTAACTAATTTGAGAAAAGAAAAAGTTACTGCAAATAGTAGACAGATAGATCACAGTTGAAATAGAAATAACAGAAAATTAGAGTATAACAATATAACTACAACCTTACTGGTAGTTTAATAATAATATTGTAAAACATATTGAAGACTACAAAATATATATATAAAAATATAAATATAAATATATATAATAGTAATACAAAAAGCTAATAAAGTATAAGTTATAATTTGGAATTATAAAGAAAAAAAATTACTATCAAGATTATATAAAAAAATAATTCATATTTATTTTATTTTTAAATAAAAAAATTTAATATTCTAAAAACATTATTTTAATTTTATTTTTAGGTTTGATTTTTTAATTTATAATTTATAATTTTATCTTTTTTGATAGCAAATTTGTATAAAAAAACATTCAATTTTGTACAGATGAATATTCAATTTTGTATAGAAAATGCAATCTGATTTGAATAATTTTGATACCATTTGAATTATTTCATTAAGAGAATTCAAATGGTATCAAAATTATTTAAATTAGATTACAAGTCATCATTATTTTCTTGTACAAAATTAGTTGTTTGTGCAAATTCACTGTCAAAAGATGTATTTTAATTTTTAACTTTAACCTTAAGTATTGACAACAAAATTATAATATAATATTCAATATATACCACTAATGCGTATGCAAATTAGTATACGTATTTAATATGTATTTATATATATTATTTATAAACTATTACGTATAAACTATTCGAATGCATCTTTATGTACGTACTTAATATGAGAATGTCTCTGGTTAAACTAACGTCTAGATATTGGACAGTTTGTTTTTGGAGAGTATCGATATAGTCAAAGTGATGTGTGGATGTACGTACGTATAATTTTTTTACAGGTTTCGCATACCAATTTCGTACACCCCTATCAAGAACGTACCTACTTTTGAATATTTGTTAATTGATATTTATTACTTGGGGTGAGTACGTTATTGATAGGGGTGTACGAAATTGGTATGTAATAATAACATGCGCATCTAATTGGTTAATACTGTATAAATGCATAAAATTGGTTTTTTATCTTCTCCAATGATATGCATTTAGGCAGTATCTACTGTAGGTTATATAATCAATAGCCTTAAATATTTTCTTTTCATGTGTATATGGTGGCAAAGGTTAATGATAGCCAATCATCGCTCAATGAAATCAATGTCCATTTTTGGTTGCATTTATCAATTTAATTGGCTGATCAGACTGACGCCAAAAGTAACATTTATTTCATAAAAATTTTTTTGAAAAATTTTTCTAGTCAAAAAAACTGATAAAAGTTGATAAAATACAAGAATTTTCAATGACACAAAACATAACAAATGAAGACATTAAATATGTACCTTATACCTCAGAATTACAACTTCCAGGAATCATGTCTTTGATTGAGAATGATCTTTCAGAACCATATTCAATATATACGTATCGTTACTTTATCAATAATTGGCCGAATTTATGCTTTATGGTAGGTAAAGTATTAGATATTCAAGCAAATGTATTTATTCTGAACAAAAATTTGCAGGCTTATTTATAAATAGATTATTTCTAAAAGACCATGGCAGAAGATCAATGCATTGGAGTAATAATATGCAAACTCGACAAACATCGTGATGCATTGCGCGGTTATATTGCAATGTTAGCTGTTAAAAAAGAATATCGAAAAAGAAAGATAGGTGGGATATTTTTATTGATATATAAAATATTAATCATGATAAAGTTTTGAACGAAATTTATGTATTTTCTTTTAAAAGGAACTTCATTGGTAAAAATGGCCATAGATGCTATGAAAAAACAGGATGCTGATGAAGTAAGAGAATGAAACGTTTTTTTTTAATGTCTAATATTGGGGTTTCAAAATTAACATCAGAAAATCCTATTTTATTTTTCCGATTTATAATTCAAAATTCTATTTTAATTTTAAAATGTACTACTTATTTGTTAATTTTGAACCCCAAATGTATTAAGCAGTCAGAAATTTACCAAATTTAAATTTCATTCAAGATTGTCCTCGAAACAGAATACACAAACCTCGGTGCACTTTCATTGTATCATAATTTGGGATTCATAAGAGATAAACGTCTTTACAGATATTATCTTAATGGTGTGGACGCGTTTCGACTAAAATTATTTTGTAAAGGTGAACAAGCGAACGAAAAAAGTTCGAATGAGACGATATGTGATAAAGAATAGATATGAATAGATATAACTAGATATAGTGATAACTATCGATATGTTATTGTATATGTTAACACCATTTGTTTATCAATATTGTAAATGACGTAGTGACGTGTAAATGGCTTTGATTTTGACTTTTGGTGCTGAGGCACAGAAAATAAAAATAGTTCTATGTATAACAATGATCTAGATAATCCCAGATTTGCACGTGTAAATGCCCAAGAAAGGAAAAAATAGAAACATATTTGTGGCTGTGTTACACTTGAATCACGTGATCAAAACCATTATTAGGAAAGCAGAATTTTGAAAAGGAAGTACGGAAAGACTAATAAATTTACATTTCATCATTTTAGAGAACAAACTCTATGATTAGGAGTCGATTAATTTATTTCCATATTATTTATACGTATATTGTTCGAATTGTAATAAGGATGACACATCTTCCCTTTTTGTGATTTAAACTTATGCATAGACCAATGTGACTCTGCAGAATTACACCGGAGAATTTATCATAAAGTTAACTAAAATATCAAAGAGTCTATAACGGTTACTCAAAAAATATCCCTTGCTGTGTTACATTGTCACACGCCTATAGTTTGGTTAGTCCTTTTTGTTATTCGATTGTCAATTTCCCCAACATCTACTTACTAGTGACAAATCGCCAGTCTTTCTCATTTTTCCTCGGCAGGGTCCAAAATTTTATTCTATTATTATATCTGATATTCGTATTTCAAGACTTGCTTTTCTCATTAAAATTCCTTTTGACTCAAAAATTAACAAGTTTAGTAAACCCTGAAAATTGATCTTGAAAATACTTGCCTTATTAAAAAGTTAGCTTAAAATTGGCACTTTATACCGCCTGTAAATAACTTACTATTATTCTCTCATCACCAGTTGTGAAGTTTCTAAAAAGAAGTTGTACTGATGGAGAAACAGGAACGGGAGTCGAACCTTACTAAAGCTCGTAGACCGCGAGTTAAAAATGACTCTAGAGTCGCGACCGTGCCGCCACCCTCATTTTTGCGCAATAAAACAACTTCCGGTTCGAATAGACCTCGCGTCGCTCGAATTAATACTTCTAGTTTATCTGATAAAGAAAAGGCTAGGTCTGACGATGGTTTTTTTTCTGACTCGGATAAAGATAGTAGTCAGAGTAATAAATCTGCCAATTCGAATATAAGTGTACAGAGTAGCATGAGCTTTCTTAATAAGACTCCTTCAATCATATCGGATGCTATAATACGTGTACGGCCAAAATCTTCTCTTGGAACTTCATCCGAAAAATCTCATATTGATCTTGCAAATCGTCAATCACAACAAGCTGATGAGGCAAGAAAGAATAGAAAGGTGAGTTATTATTATTCATAAATTTATGTAATTATATGGTTGATCAGATCCATACAAATAATAATCCCAATACACGTCATTAAATTAAGTAATTTAGAACACGAATAGATTATGCCTTCTTATATTATAGAATGGCTAAATATTAACTATCAACATATGTTAATTGTTCATCGCGTTTAGATAGCTGATTTGGAAATCTCTATAAAATCTCTAATGACGATAAATGCCGAATTGGATGAAACAAATAAAAAGCAAGCTGCTGAAATAATAGAATTGAAGAGAATGCTTAAAGTGTATGTTTAATTATTTATGCTTATTTATTACAAGTCAATTTTCTCGCTAATTACCTTGATTTATATTATTATTATTATTTATACTCAAAATTTTTTAGTAATGATTCATTTATGTCTGAGGTTTATGCTGTTGATGATGATGAATTGTCTACACCATTAACTGAGGTAAGTTTAAGAATTAAAAAAAAATTAATAATAAATAAAAGTAAAATAAAATAATAATAAAATATTTTTTATTTATTTATTTATTTTAAAAAAAAAAAAATAAAAAAAAATAAAAATAAAAATACCTTTTTTTTTATTCTCAGACGGACTTGGCAGAAATTGAAAAAGATAACGATGTTCGGTTTAAACGAATATGTCTCCTTATAGATGAATTACTTCGAGATGCACAAGAAGCTCTCGAGTGTTCGGCAAAAGCAATTGGAACTAAAGTTTTACCTAATGCACAATTAGGTTTGTCAACTGTCAACAGTTCGTTTCAAATGCATAATAATTATATTGGAAATTATCTAATTCATAATTTTTATTTTATTTTATTTTATTTTTTTACAATTGGATAGATACAAGTTGTAACGAATCAGATACTCCAAACGAGGATTTCTTAAATGAATCAGTAGGACATTATGATGAGATATTAACACAGTCATCACATCATTCTAATACATCTATAGAATCTAAAAATCTAGAGGTAAAGTTGGAGGAATTAGAAAATAAGTCTATCAGCACTATATCATCCAAAAGGTCAAAAAAATCAAAGACGCGAAGTAACATTGATACATTAATTTCAACGAATCCAAAATTAAAAATAAAAACTTCAATGAATCAAAAACAAAATATTGTGGGTCCAAAATTAAAATCACAACATTCGAGGGATCCTAAATTAAAAAATTCTCCTGACACACCAACTTCGGTAGACCCGGAGCTAAAAAATTCAAAATCGCTTATTTGTGAAAATGGTGAACGTGTCCAAGAAGTTATCAAAGAACTTTTGATCCTTGCAAAGCAAGATACTGCAAAGCAAGATACTGTAAATAATAAAAAACTTACACCACAACCTTTCGAACGAAAAGGTCTTGGATTATTACTCTCCATTCAGGATGGGCAGAATGGAATTATACCACATAATACTTATAATACCTATAATACTGTTACTAACAATAATGTTGATACATCACCTACTTCTCCTACAATAACGCTTTTATACGAGCTTCAAGAATTATTGGGGATAGGTGATGCTGAATCGTCAAAGTTTACGAATGAATACCGTAAAAGTTGTCCGGTGATTTCTTCTAGTAGAATTCATTTTCAAATTGATGCGCCAAATGAAGACAGTATAGTTGATGAAAGAGATGGTTCAAGAGCTCAATTAAATAACTCTACTGATAGAGCACGAGTTGTTCGTCGTCGATCTTCGCCGAATTTCAGAACTCCGTCATCTCCAATGAATAAATCAGATGACGCTTTCAACACATCGAGGGCGAAGAGTAACGTTGATTCAAACTCACATCCACATGGTTCTGATGTTGTTAAACCTTCGTTATGGGCTTCATCATTAGGCTTTTTAACGCCTTGGAAATTGGAATAGATTAGAGTATATAAATCACATTATAATTTTATGTATTAATTTCCTAACAATGTATTTTGGAAGGACATTAAGGATTTCAAACTTTAAATATATTAATTAGACAAAGGTATCTTTGAAATCAAAACCTCTGACTTTTTTCCTTAATTTATTGAATGAAATATTGGATTTAGTAAATTCATATTTTTTTTCACTGCTAAAAAAAAAAAATAGAATATAATAATTACAACGTAAAATTAGAAATATACAATGGAGCAAGCCGTACATATCAAAAGAAATTTATCTAATTAGGACAAAATATTTGTTCAGTATGGTTTGCTTTTTTTTTTTTTTTTTTTTTTTTTTTTTTTTTTGATGGACTTTAATTTTGCAATTGGTTTATTTTTTAGAATATAAAAAACATTTTCCTGTTTTAGAAAAGACACGATAATTTTTTTGTATAATTTTTGAACCCATTTTTTTCCCTTTCCCCCCTTTTTTTTTTTTTAATATCTGTAGTTATTGTTCGTATTAAGGGTTGTAGTTTTACTTTAAAATTAGGTTTTATAGATTGATTGAAAATTTAAAATTAAATGTTAAAAAAAACAATTGCAAGAATTTATTCAAAAATTATTGCTAAATATGAAATTGAATGAAATTATTTTATAGTAAATAAATTTTAGACGGAACTATACGATTCACTAGTCCGAATCTTAGGTTAATTCTAATGTTATTCAAGTCGAGCATACTTGAATCTAACGCTGCAATTAAATCTTAAACTATTGAGTTTTCGAATTATGATTAAGGTGAACCGAATTTCTATTATGCAAAACTTATTACGTAAAAAATCTTAAATTATATTTTATTTAATCATAAAGCGTTAAAATTTACAAATAATTTCATTGTCATTATCATTATACATAAAAAGACAATTATTTTTGGTTTAAGTTCTGATGCCAAGAAAATTACGAATCATTGATCGTCCTTTCTGCTCAATTGTCTTTCTTTTTTATTCTTTATAAGCATATTAATATTTTTTTTGTACCAGTTATTTAAATTCTTTACATAAATTAAAAGCAGATGAAAAAAAAGACGATCTTTTATATATTTAAAAGTAAATATATATGTAGATATAAACACCTGTGAAATAAAATTATGCGCGCGTGAGTACGTGCGTATTTTGAATGAAATAATAAAATAACTATTTATAAAGTGCATAAAAAATTCTTTTAGAGTATGACTAGTTTTGAGTAGTTTTTAAAAAATTTAATTGGACATAGCAAATTCTCATCACTTGTACATATTTAATTTATTCAACAACCCTGTAATATGAATCGATTAATCGAGAATGTAAGGTTTTGGTTATTTTTTTAAATGAAATAGAAATTCCGATTCCCAAACCAAAATGTTCATTCAAGAAAAGTTTGGATTGCAACCCTAAATTAAACTTAATACTGAATTTCAGACACTACTTAAGAGTATATATCTTTAATGATATTTAATAGGATTTTTTCTGCAAAGGAAAGCATTGCCTGATCGGTCAAGTTAATACTAACAAAAAATTGTCTACCAAATTTTGTTGCTAAAATTTTTTAAAAAAATGAAAGTTATTGTTTATATATTATATATATATGTATAAGTAAATTTATGGATAGAACACGTAAATTTACCGAATTTACATGCTTCTCAAAATAATTGAATCATAAATTTAATTACCAAGTTTTTGTCCAAGCTGTTTAGAAGTTTCCTCTATCTCTTTTGTTAGTAAAGTTGTAGACGACGTTGATAAGGTACTACCATTTAAAGGTAGTGGCATAGCAACTGCTAAATTCCCTAATACTTCGTTTCCATCAACACCGACCCATATAAAAGCTGACTCTTCGAAACTCGTAACCTGAAAGTGTAAAGGTTGGGATAGGAATAGATGTGTTGAACTATAAACTTTAAATCGTGGTGTACTAAGTTCTGACGGCATTGAATCGATTAAGACTATTGCTATAACGTGTAGTGATTATAATCGATTTAGTATTAGCCGATAAACCGGTAAGATCGACTCGGCTAAGTCGATTTTTTTTGAAAAATTTGACATAGCCGATTCTTGGCGATATATGGGGTGAGTCAATAGAAACGCATCAAATTTTTTTCTAAGTAAATTTTGTTAAAAAAATTTTTACTAAATTTAATTAAGTTATTTCTATTTAAAAAATGATTTGGTGCATTTCTATTGACTCACCCCCATATATGAAGAATTTAGGTGTGTGCCTCTCGCTCTTACCTCAAGCGTCAATCGGCCTAAATTAGAGTTAGAGTAAGGATTAATGTCGATCCGTTAATGCTGGTCAAACAGTCAAATCGATTTGAATCAGGAACTTTCGAAATTTCACGTATTGCAGCCAGTTATCAATTGGTCAATTTCTTTATTGTTATTATCAATTGGTTGATCTGATTTCAGGTTGATTTTCTTCTTTTTTAGGTAATTCTTTAGATTTTTCTTCGTCGACGATAGCGATAGGTGAAGAATGTATTTTCAGAACTTATGTATCTGGTATTTGTGAAACTTCGATTATCGTTATCATATCTACGATTCCTTAAACCATATAGCGTTAAAGTATTTCATATTACTCAATCAATATGTTACGCAAATTATGTGAATAAATTTTTTACTATGGAATGATCGACACTTATAAGAAATTCTCAATTTTTTTATAATAAATTATTACAATAAATTAGTTTTTTTAAAATAAAACTGCGAATAATTTAGCAAAACAAATATCATCCTTATACATAAGTAAAAAAAATAATAAATTTAAAAAAATCTTTTTAAAAATATTTACTAAGTAATAATACAAAAAATAAAATTATTGATAAAGTTTTGTATTTAAAATTTAAAACTATATATTTAAAAAATAAACTTACAAAACTAATAGTTTATTATAGATTATGTTTAAAAAAAAAGTATTAGTTAATATATTTTATAAAAACATATTAATTTTTTTAAATTTTTAGATCAAAAAAACAAAAAACATTAGTTAATACATTTTGTAAAGATATTATATTAACTTTTCTGAATTTCAGATTAAAAAAAATAAAAAATATTAATTAATATATATAGTTTACAAAAATATTATATTAAATTTTTAAAAACTTAATTAGAATAATAAACTTAAATTAAGCATATGATAAAAATAAATTAAGAATAATTATACAAGCATAGTCAAATAATAATGCAAATAAAATCAAAAAAGTCTATAATATTAAGGTTAATAAATAAAAGTACAAAAATAATATTAAAACTTATAGATAGTAAAGAGTTAAAGCAAAAACTAGCAAATAAAGACAATTACTTTAATGTGAGAAATACAGTTGCAACAGCATTATAGAAAACAGATCTAATGAAGATAATAATGCTAAAAAAAATATATAATATAATAATTAAAGTAGATATAAAAAACCCAACTAGTGTAGAACAACTCTTTCTGACAATTATTCAAACCAAACTTTTCAAAAAGCCAAACTACAGAAAAATAATATAGTTAATATATTAAACTTTAGGGGTGTGGCAACCTAGTGAAGTGATTAAGTTGTTAACCTTCAAGTGGCAGGTCCAAAGTTCAAATCCCAGTATCAATGAAAAATTTAAAAATCCTTTCTATGTTATGATTAACTGTCTCTTGCAATTGGTTGGGATAAGACACCTGTAATCTATGTCACACCAGCATGACTGGC